CCACCCTTGGCCCGCCCCGCGCGGCCCGGCACAGCCGCAAGCAGTGCTCGGTGCCCGTGCCGCCTCCCGCAGGTATCGGTCTGAGCGCAAGACGCGCGGTCAGACCTGATGGAAACGCGTGTCCTGGGCTGCTCCTCACCGAGCTGCCTGCTCTGACGTGCTCTGCTCCTCCGCAGGTACTATGTGCAGGGAGTGTGTCGGGAGGGCAACAAGTGTCTGTTCTCACACGATCTGGCTACAAGCAAGTCCTCCACTGTCTGCAAGTACTACCAGAAGGGACAGTGTGCCTATGGCACTCGGTGTAGGTAAGGCCTGGGCAGTGCTGAGCTCACAGGGCTGTCCTGCAGCCTCACACCCTGGGGGGCTGCAGGGTGAGGAGAGAGGACAAAGGGAATTAAATAATATCTTAAGTAGGATCTTTTCTAGAGCCAAAACAGCTCTTGGTTCCAGGAGTACAATTTGTTTCGGGCTTGGCTGTGGCAATTCTTTTACTTTGTAGCATTTACACTCCAGGTTTGAGGTGTGCTTTTGAACTAGTTTTCCCTGCTGGAAGTGCTGTTGGATGCACAGAGCAGAGCAGCAGCTGCACATGGGGTGGCAGCTGGCAGCAGGGATTGTTTTCCATGTTCCTGGAGAGGCTGGGAGCAGCCTGTGCTCTGGCAGCACTCCTGCTGCAGCTCCCACACACCCTCTTGCACACTACAGGGCTCTGCCTCAGAGCAAAGTGCCCCCCAGGGTTGGTAGGAAAGCTGAGCAGCTCCACCTTTACCTGAAGCCTTTGGGTTAAACCTCCATGAGGAATGCTCCAGGAGACACTGTGCAGGTGTTCATGTTGTTACCCTAAGGAGTGTTGCAGTGTCACATCAGGGATGTTCCCCAGGCCAGCCCATGGCTCCTGCCTGGAGGAATTCCCTGGTGGGTGGGTGAGGGGCTGTGTTGGTGCTGCTCCTGGCACAAGGAGCTCATGGCATCACTACAGTTCCCTCCCTCTGCATGGTTCCTGTGCCACTCGTGGGTCAGGGCTTGGGCACCAGTGATGTCTACAGCTCCTATTACCTGCTGAGGTGGGACTGGTGGTGTGGGATGTGGCTGAGGGCAGTGTGGCCTCAGGGGCCTGACTGGAATGATGGCTGCGATGTGTCTGGGGGTTTATTCCAGCTGTTTTGCTGGAGTTTGGGCACCCAGTGCACATGTCTGTAAGCATGTGCATGTCCTCAGGACAGGACCACAAACAGAATGTTTTAGTTCCCTTGAGAAATAGTCCAGCATTCCATGGCTTTACTGAACCAGCCCCTCACTGCTTTGGTTGCTTCTGCTGTGCTACTGGAGTGAGTTTCCAGAGTTTTTCTGGATGTTTGGAGCCCTTTCCTATCCTGTATGGAGATACTGCATATGGTGGGGGAGCACAAGGTTTGGTGGCTGCTGCTGCTGCTGGCAGGAGGATGCTGAGGTCATGGAATGCCACTCCTTCCTGCCTGCTCCTTGCTGCTGCTTCCCTGGGGAATGCCACAGAGCTGTGTGTGTGAGGGGTGACAAGATCTAATTCCACATGCACATGGCTGATGTTCTGCCAGCTGTGCTGGTGTCTTTGGAGCAGGACAGAGGTGTCTCTGGAACAGGACACACAGATGTGCTCTCACACATCTTTGTCTTGAGTGAGCCCGAGAAGCCTCTGCATCAGGTCAGAAGGAGCCTGAGCCTTGTCAGAACAGCCCTGAAAGACAGCAGCTGTTGGGGTTTGGTGTCTGTGAGTGGTGCCCTGCCCCTGTAACCCCTGTTTCCTTGTGACAGGTATGACCACGTCCGTCTGCCTGCGCCGGGGGCAGCCGCAGCCCTGGCAGCTCCACAGAGCCCCCGGCAGCACCCCCAGCACGGCACCACCACGCGCAGGAGGGAGAAGAAGACACTGGTGCTCAGGGACAGAAGTGAGTGGGAGTAGTGCTTGGTGCTGGGCAGGACTTATCTTGTGTTTTCTCCTTTTGTTATCCAAGTTTCATGGGCAGCGGGAGCAGCACAGCCAGAATTGCTCCTTCCTGGGAATGCCCATGCTTAGCAGGATCCATCTGTGGCTTTATCTAGCAACTGCTGCTCCTTGAAGGATGAGCTTTGGTTTGAGGGTATTTTGGGGTGGGTTTTTGTCTTGATTTGGGTGGTTTTGTTCAAACATCTCCACCTCTCAGATGTTTTGTGCACTTTGTTCTCAGTGCAAGGGCATTTGTAAGGTGAGGGACCTGTCTGCTGTGTGCCAGGGCACCTGGCACATGTTGTGTAGAGCACTGTGCCAGCCTTTAGGAGCACAGGCACATGGATACATCTATCCACACCTGGGCAGAGCAGCTGAGGCCTCCTGCACTCTGGTCCCACCCCAATGGGCCTGTGCCCAAATGGGAGGGAGTGAGAGGTCACATCAACCCCCCGAGTGCTCCAGGCTGGGGCAGAGGGGCTGGAAAGCTGCCTGGTGGGAAAGGACCTGGGAGTGTTGGGCAACATGAGCCCAGGTGGCCAAGAAGGCCAGTGCCCATCTTGGCTTTGTGCCAGCACTATTGTGCCAGCAGGGCCAGGGCAGTGACCACCCCCTGTCCTGGCACTGCTGAGGCACCTCCAGTCCTGGGGCCAGTTCTGGGCCTCAAAACAAGAAAGACCTTGAGGGGCTGGCATGTGGGAAGGGAAGGGAATGGAGCTGGGGAAGGGTCTGGAGCACCAGGAGTAGCTGAGGGGGCTCAACCTGGAGAAAAGGAGGCTCAGGGAGGACTTTCTGACTCTCTACAACTCCCTGACAGGAGGTGCAGCCAGGTGAGGGTTGGGATCTGCTCCTGGGCAATTAGCAATAGGACCAGAGGAAATGGCCTCAAGGTGCACCAGGGGAGGTTCAGGTTGGATAACAGGAAGAATTTCTCCATGGAAGGGGCTGTCAGACATTGGAAGGGGCTTCCTAGGGAGGTGGTGGAGTCACCATCCCTGGAGGTGTTCAAGACATGACTGGATGTTGCACTCAGTGATCTGGGCTAGTTGACAAGGTGGTGTTGGGTCACAGGACTTGATGGTCTTGGAGGTCTTTTCCGACCCAAATGATTCTATGATTTTTTTAGTCTTATTTGTAAACAGAAAAAAGCTGCTGAAGAAATCTTGCAATCCAACTTTTCAGTAGGTAGGTTGGGAAAATTCCTGTGATTTGTGAGCAAAAGGGGCTTAGATAGGAGATTTCATTGAGACGAAAACCTTAAGAAAACCCAAACCAACTGATAATCACTGAAAAGAAAGTAGATGCTGCTGCTTATGGGTGTGTGTGCAGTGTCTTGTGCAGTTCACCTGTGTTTCTCCTTCCTGAGATCTGTGTGGCTCCAATGAGGAGAAGCAGCAGCCCAGTGCCCCCAGCGACGTGGTGTGCTGCAGCAACCACGACGACAGCCTGGAGGTGAAGCCCCACTCCTACCTGGAAGCCATCTGCAGTGGGCTGGAAGAGGCTGTGGCTGGGAGCTCGCAGGGGGCCGGGGAGCAGCTGTGCCCGTACGCGGCAGCAGGGACCTGCCACTTCGGGGAGGGCTGCCTCTACCTCCACGGCGACGTGTGTGACATCTGTGGGCTGCAGGTGCTCCACCCCTTCGACCAGGAGCAGAGGAAAGCTCATGAGATGGTAATATCAATGTGAAATCCTGGGAGGTTTGCTTGGCTTGGTGCAAGGTTTGGCTGGTTTGCTCGAGAGTGCAAAGATGTGGTTTGTAGAGCATGTTGCAGAGAGCTGCTGCTGCTTATCTAGTTACAAAATGATTCCATGAGTGGTCTGGTCGAGCATCTGGGGCTTCATTGATAGCAACTTCTCGTTGTCCTGTTTCATCCTTATCAGAGCCTGACCTGCAGCCTTCTCCCAGAGCACCCCGAAAGTCTGCCAGGAGAATGTTTTTTGTGTGTGATGCCTCAGGGGTACATTAGGTAACAGTGGGGGAGAGGAACTGGAGCTGCTGGTCCTTCCAAGACGACCCTGCTGGCTGCTGGGTCAGCTTGGCACCTGCCTCCTCTTGGTTGTGATTGATGGGTTGTGCCCCAACCCTGGCAGTGTTCACAGCCAGGTTGGACAAAGCCTTGAGCAACCTGCTCTGGGGGGGCTGTCCCTGCCCAGGGCAGGGGGTTGGGACTAGATGATCCCTAATGTGCACTGCAACCCCTTAACATACTACGATACTATGATGGGAGGGCAGGAGCAAGTAGGGGCAGACAGAAGGGAACACAGAGATCTTAGGGCTGAACTGAGGCATTGGCTGGGTAAAGATGGGCTTGAGGGGCTGCTGCTTCTGCCTGGCTACCAAGTTTGGGTCAAGGCAGTTGAGTTCTTGAGGCTGAGGAGGAGGAAGACAAGCAGCATCGGTGGTTACTGAATCCTTAGTCCCTCCAGAGTGTGGAGTACAATCCAAGGGCTTAAAAACCTCAGGTTTGTGCTAGGGCTGAACTGAGGCATTGGCTGGGTAAAGATGGGCTTGAGGGGCTGCTGCTTCTGCCTGGCTACCAAGTTTGGGTCAAGGCAGTTGAGTTCTTGAGGCTGAGGAGGAGGAAGACAAGCAGCATCGGTGGTTACTGAATCCTTAGTCCCTCCAGAGTGTGGAGTACAATCCAAGGGCTTAAAAACCTCAGGTTTGTGCGTAT